TTGTGATAATAAACGTGTGTTCCTGACGGTGCATTAAGAAACAAACGCCCTACACAATGAAAGCTTGATGAAGGTATTAAGAAAATTCAGACCTGTAATTTCTATCTTATGGCGGACTGATTAATCAAAGGAAGCAACTAAATACCTCCTACCATTTTTGGGTTAATGCTTGTAGCAATAATCACCTTTGGATCACCACTTATGGCTTCAAGTTTCTTATGAAACCAAACAGCTTGAGCGTCAAACAAACTCAAAGTCACTGATACATCATTGCCAGATGAAACAAACTCAAATTCACTGATACATCACTGCCAGATGAATAAAAAGTTTGATACTTGGTTATTTGAATTGTTTAAAACAATATGATAAAAACAATATGATAAAACCGTTTGATTCTGATATCTGACAACCAATACAGAGCAATAAACGAATCTATAAAACTCATGAACAGTACTCAATGATCATTTCAAAAGACTGGTTCACGCTTTTGCCCCTTTAAACCGATCAGAATCAAAGTTTCAATTTTAATTCGATACTTCACCTCACAAACATCACTCTCATGGAAGAAGGAAGAGTTTCGCACCTGTGACCAAACACCATCCTGCAAACGCGCTCGATCCCGTACCCCCGGCGCGTGTTCTCTCATCGTAACCGACGTTTCCATCACCGACGGAGATCTCGTAGCGAAGTGGATCTTCAGGCCCGCTTAACGTAGTCTTTATCCGAGACAGCGACGAACGAAGTCGGTAAGGCAACCTAATTGCCGATGGCGAGGATGAGCTTTGTCTGTTAGCGGACTGGGAAATTTAGCAACTCGTTTGTGATCAGAGGCGACGAAGAACCCCAAGAGCCGCAAGTCGGCGCAGAAAAAGCACAACTTTTAGGTTATCAGTAAACGTAAACAGGCCAGTGAATTGAGACAAAGCCTAACATTAATGGGAAGGAAACAGATAGATTAGAGGCCCATGTAGGCATGTCCACGTGGACTTAATGACATGGCGCCTATGTGGACAGCCTTAGAGGGAAGGAAGCTTTGCTTTATATAATAGATTCAATGTATTTATTCTTTATGTATATATTCAATAAACAGTGGAGTGTTTTTTTTACATGCATGTGTAAATTTAGGATTTTAACATTTGTCACACAATCGTCTAAATATTTTTGTTATAATATCAATATAACATGGTTTCAATTTCCTAAATTTATAAATACTTAAGTTCCGACTGATGATTTTGTTGAAAATAAGATGAACAAATAGGAAAAACGTATAGAAATAAATTGTAGGTGATAAGAAGAAAAATATTCCTTGTGAATGGTGATTTTTTAGGAATGATAAATAATTCAATGTTCTTCTTCATTCATTCTTTTGTCACCAATCGGAACCTTAGATATGTATTGATTGGTAAAGAACAGTGTCATGCTGATGATTCGAAATAGCAAAACAAAGTTGAGTGTAATGCATTAATTTGAATCATAAATTTTGATTTTTTAGTTTACATTATTATTCTGTATAATTCACAAGATGTTTATAACATTGTAAACACACAGGGCTGACACTGAGCAAAGCCGGATGAAATAGTGGTCTTGATCCCCAAAATTTTTTGAAAAAAATTATATGTATACATGTCTCAAAAAAAAAGTTTTAAGCCCCCAAATCCGTAAAAAACAAAATATTTAGGTGGAGTCGGCCCTGTAAACACGTAACCCATGTTTTAAGCAAGAAAAAAAAACATGTAACCAATTTTACAATCAAAAGACATGAAAACATTGGAGTAGTTATGAGAGAGAGAAAGATCAGTCCACAAATACTAGGACCAAATTAAAGAACAAGCACTAAAACTGATGACGATGCTATAAAAGTTCAGGTGATGAGAAGAACTAAAGCTGACAACGATGGTGATGTACAGATAACAAAATATATACATTTTTCTTAATTATCTGCGCTAACAATAGAAAGAAGAACAACCCATCACATGTTCTTCTCTCTTCTCTCCCGTACGGTGAAGCTACCACGGCCGGAATATTTCACACTATCTTGTTATACAATTTCATATGATTCCTAGAAAGAAATAATCGAAACTCATCGATTCATCCAGTCATCATCGTCCAAAAGCATGGAAGAATATAAATCATTACTCTCTCGACGATCCATAGAACCAAACTCATCATCAGTTTCTCCTTCTCCCAACATCACAATCATCTCCACGGCTTCTCTCATCTCCAGCCTCCTCTCTTCTTTCTCTTCACAACATCTCAACCCTATCTTCAGCAAATTAATCATTTCCCCTTTACAATTCTTCTTCCCTTCCATTTCCTTGTCAAACACGTCACCTGTTTTCTTCTCCTTAACCATGTTACTAACCCAAGTCACAAGACTTATGTTTGGATCATAACCTTGCGATAAGTAATTCTCAGGGAATCTCCCTGTCAGAAGCTCCAATATCAACAAACCGAGACACCAAACATCTGTCTTCTTTGTTAAGACTTGTTCTTTCGCTGGTCCATACTCTGGTGTTTTGTATGCAGTCATGAAGTTATGCGCATGCTCTGAGCCCATCACCGGTCTTAGAGCGTAATCTGTTAGCAATGGCTCGAAGGATTCATCTAAAACCACATTTGATGACTTTATATGACCATGAGGGATCGTTAATGTTGGTAACTCGTTGAACAAGTAATATAAACCCTTTGCTACTCCTTTTATGATCTTTAAACGTGTGGTCCAATCCAATCCAGGTTGATCCGCTGAATGATTAGCTGCAAACAAAAAAAAAACACATAGAACGTAGAATTCAAATTATTAATTAGTAACTTCCTATAACTGGTATTAATTAACGTACTGTAAGAACTTACTATGAAGATGGCTTGCCAAGCTATTATTAGGCATAAACTGAGTGACTAAAAGCTTCTCTTCTCTCCGGTAATAGTAAGCGACTAGAGGCAATAGATTCGGATGGTTTAACCTCCCTAGCCTTCTCATATGCTCATGAAACTCATCTCTTCCGACATTGTTCATATGTTTGTACCTCTTCACGACCAATGTTTGTCCGCTACATATCGCTGCTTTGTATGAAGCACCAAATGTTCCACTACCAAGAACTTCAGCTGAAGCTCTAAGAAGATCTTGAAGACCAAATCTTGGAACATTGTCCCGCACAAATAGAAGCCTGCCTCCTGGATCAGGCATTGACCTTTTCTTTGTGCGCTTCACAATAGATTCAGCGGGTTTATTGCTCCTAATCACTGGTTCATGATAAGTGTAACTCTCTACACTTTCCTTGCCTGAGGAAGAATAAGCTGACAAGAAATTTCTTCTTCTTCTTCTTAACTGAATGAAACAGAACACAAGCCCGATGATAACTAGTAGTATGCCAAGAACAATCATAATGATCGCTATAGTGCTAAAGGAACCAGTCTTGCTCCCCTGAGGAGGACTTAGAGGAGGACTAGGATTAGATCTTGGATCAACAGGAGGGATTTCCGGAGAGGAAAGAGAACATGGACTTAAGGGAGGACCACACAAATCTTTGTTACCTACAATTAATTTACAAAATATAAAAACATTCATTTTAAGCAAAAAAATAAATAAAATAAAAATATATTATCAGAAATGAATAATTTATCTATTGTACATTGCCAAATTTCTTTAGAGGCCTAAGCTAATATAGGAAAATACATAAAATAATATAATTGAAATTTTCAAAAATCATATATATGCTAATCAGCCGTTTATGTGGCCTTTATTCCATGGACGGGCACAAACTATACACAACAATGAAAATGTACCTGCAAAAGAGCCGGGATCCATGTTTTGGAGGCTTACAGGTATCGGTCCAGCAAGGTCATTGTTCTCAAAGCTAGCTAACTTAAGATCCTTCTGTTTGAAATGTGGTATCTGCCCTTGAAACTGATTACCATTTAGCCTCACCTCTACAAGCCTTGGCAAAGAAGCTAAAGAAGAAGGAATTGTTCCACGAAACGCGTTATTGGCTAGCAAAATTTTCTTCAAATGGGGCATATCTTGAAATGCAAGCGCGGGTATCTCCCCTGAAAACCGGTTATTAGACAAATACAAGGATCTCAACGAAGTGAGCCTATTAACCTGAGGCATTGGTCCATCAAACTCATTGTTCATGAAGCTTATGGTTCGTAGATTCTTCATAGGAACCAATGGGTCGAGGTCTACTGTCCCGGTTAAGCCTAGTCCCTCGAGTTGTATCCCCCAAACGTAATTGCTACAAAGAACTCCAAACCAATTCGCGTCGTTTCCTTGACATGGTGATGTTGATGGATCCCAACTAAAAAACACCGAACCATTTGCTAATGTATCTTTGAATCTCAAGAGACAATCTGCGTCTGAATCTGGCACAACCACTTGAGACATTACAGCCGGACATAACACGGTGATAAATATGATGATGAGGAAAGTGCAATAATGTAGGTTTTTCTTCGAGGCCGTGTTACACGCAAGCATAACCGGGTTCTCCCAATTGCGCATTGCGGTTACACACGTGATGGAATCGATTTGATCTCTGTGGAATCTTTATTCTGTTGTTGTTGTTGTGTTCCGTGCAAGCCAAGAAATTTTACGAACGGGAAGAAGGAAGAAGACCTACCAAGAATAGACAAAGCACGAGTGTGTGTAAATTGGCAAAGATGTGATTCTTTCTCCCTTTTTCTTTCTATTTTCGTTTTTGGATTTAACATCTTAAGATTGTTATAAGGTGAGAGAGAAATCTTTGGATATCCATTCAATTATCTTGTTTAAGCTATATATATGTTGTATACTTGTTTTTGTTTCTAAATCGTTTATTTGGTATAACAAATTTCAAGAATTAGCCAATAAAGTTGTGGATTATTCGATGATGTATCTGAACTAACAAAACAATGTGTTATTAAGTTATAGCTTGTAGAAGTTTTGAGTTTCTCTTTTATCGCCAGTTACCCTACAAAATAATCAATTATTTTTTATATCTTTAAAACATAAATATTTTAAATTTTTATGTATTTAATTATTAGTAATGATAAATTGTAAACTTCAGCTGATTGAAACTATTTAGTCATTCTTATTTAAAGTTAT